GAAAGCATGTCCTCAAGTCTCCTCTTTCGAATGGTGAAAATCGAAGCTCTCTCGCTCTTTTCTATCAGAAGTTATTCAGAAAACAATCATATACAATTCTTTTTTTGGATGGACAATAGGCTATAAATCGAATTACTTTTAGCGTAATTGAAAGATATTATATCAGAACCTGATGAGAGAGATTATTTATTACTTTACCTATCGCTTTTCTAACGACTTAAGGAGATCTGCAGTGATTACGAAAGTCTTCAGTCGTTACAGATATTGACATGACCTATGCTATGAAGTTTCAAGAGAACTTTCTTGAAAAGAGCTGATACTACTACTTTCAAAATTGTGCAATACATTGTGGTTCAATAAATTATTTCCATTCAGTCACTTTGAATCTTCATTTGACTTACTTTTCGGACGTTCACGATTTAACCAACTTATTTCGGTTGGATCTAGTTTTTTACTAACATGTCTTTTATTTTTATAAGCTGGCACATTGTTAAAATTATAACGGGCATCGGCATATTGATTTTCATCAACTAAAAGAAATGAGTTGATCTTTTGAAAATGCAAGTCTTTTGCATCCGATACACTTACTTTCATCTTCCAACACATTTATTTTAGTTTTTGTTGTTTGTCGATGTTTTTGTTGGTTATCATTGTAATTTTCAGCTTCACCGTCACTATGTTCTTCACTTTCCTCAAAGGCACTAAATGATATTTCTTCACTACTTGGTTTTTGTTTACGATATTTATCTTTTTCATATTGACATTGAGCTTTGGTGCCTAATAAATACAAATTTCAAGAAAGAGTTAGTGAATATGGTTGGTGATAACTTTACCTTCCGTTAATATATCACATGTATGAGAAATACCGGCTGATTTAATTCTACCTCGAGACGTATTAATTCGATCGACGTCAACAATATGTTTGGGAGCAACACCATGTTTATTTTCTTTTCTAAACGATACTAACGAGGAATGATCCCCAACGGATAAATCGCTTTTTCAACGAAACCGACTGGACTATAGGTAGTCGACGATGCTGATTCCGAATACCACCATGAATGCTGCCGCTAGGCCTTCAAAGACCGATATTCTGGAAAACCAGGTTTCGAGAAACTCTAAAGAACAACCAAAAGCTTTCTTAATGAGGTGTAATTATAGTCCATAAATTTCTGATTAAAACGAGGCA